CAGGTTCAATCAGAGAAGGATGAGGAAGTAGCTGGAAGCTGCGTTCGAGGTTCTCAAAGAGGCATCTGGCTACTCTCCATGTTGATGACTTTGATTCCTGTGGGAATATTTTAGAATTCTCTAGACTAGACTCTTGCCTTTTCCTCAAATATTTTTGGCAGTGAAACAAAGAACAAACGGAAGCAAGAGCAACAAGGAAGGTTTTTTTTTTTTTGTTATTTTTTTTTTTTGTTTTTAAACCCGTTTCATTGAATACATATAGACAGTCAAAAGGAAAAAAGCCATACCTATAGTATTCATCTCCCACAAAGAAAAGGGTCTTCTGTGGCTCCCTGAGGTAGACAGCAGCATCTATTCGCTGCACGTGCCTTGGAAATCCAAAGTCATAAATAGTGCGAGGAGGACCTTGCATTTGGAATCCTCTCGTTATCCAGTAGTGGGGACCTGCAAACAGAAATTTAAGTTTATGAAAACTCTGCACTTCTTGGCGATACACTTCTCTCATAAACATTTCTATGAAGGATCATAAATGGGGTTAGTTTATGGGATATTTGCCATGGCTATAACCCAACAGGAGGTATAAACTTCTAACTATGCAGTTCAATAAAAGACTTCAAACTTCCCTGGAGGCAGAAGTCCCTAGTTATGCCTTAAGAAAGCATTAACATTTATAGAATTGTGTTTTACATTTAACATATTACATCTTTCAAGATATCCTTCATTTCTAATCTCATTTCACCTTCATAGATCTATGAGAGAGAATGGGCATGTGACATGAAAATGCTATGATTTTTACTTAAATTGGCACTTGCTTTCTACCCTTATCCCTCAGCATCAAGAAAATATAAGCTAAAACTGATAGTTATCACTTACTGGATAACTTCCATTGGCTTACCATTGTCACAACGCATCTTCAAGGTTTATATTGCTATAATCACTTTACAGAGGAAACAGTGGAGCTCAGAGCAGTTAGATAGCTTCCCAAAGTCACTCAAATAGTAAAGGGTTAGAGCCAGAGATTGGTATGTGTGTCCACCTCCTGAGCTCAAAGGCATCCTCCTGTCCTGGCTGCTTCTGACCACGGCATAGAAGTAAGGGTATTGTTTACCACACACTGAGTTCCATGTTGGCTTTTATTTATTAAAGGGTCTCACTAGAGTATACACTGTCACTCTGAGCAGAGGTCCTGTGAGGCAGAGACCAGGTTTCTAGCTCCTTGGGCACTACCACCTAACACAGTGCCTTACTAGGCTAACAGGCTTGGTTCTGGTTAATGGTCACTGCCATCACTTTCACTGTTACACAATGTAGGGTATAACAAATGTAGGGTGGAATTTCATACCCAAACTGAGGACAAAGAGCAACTGAAATGTGTTCCATGATGGCTGGACAAATGCTGGCAGGGCTAGATCTGTCAAATGGATGGGGCACTGCAGCCCTGCCATTTCTCTCATTGAGGGATCTGTAGGGTACCTTTGAAGAAGTAAGCAGTGCCCCTCTCAGCCACTTCATAAGCTGCATCCACATTGGACATGAGCTGGGGGAAGGAGCTGGTAATAGTGCTGGGCCGAATTCCTGCCCGCAAGTGAACCTGCCGTCTCCAGAAAATCCTATGGGACATTAAAAAAAAAAAATCAAGATCAACGATTGATTTAGATATAAAATAACACTTGGGCTGAAATGTACTCAGAGGCTACTTGCTAAATGCCCTTTGCCCTTTCCTTGCCTTTTTTTTTTTTCTTTTTCATTTCTTTGAGATGGAGTCTTGCTGTGTGGCCCAGGCTGGAGTGCAGTGGCATGGTCTTCACTCACTGTAACCTCTGCCTTCCCAGTTCAAGTGATTCTCCTGCCTCAGCCTCTCGACTAGCTGGGGCTACAGCTGTGCGCCACCATGCCTGGCTAATTTTTTTTTTTTTTTTTTGAGACGGAGTTTCGCTCTTGTTACCCAGGCTGGAGTGCAATGGCACGATCTCGGCTCACCGCAACCTCCGCCTCCTGGGTTCAGGCAATTCTCCTGCCTCAGCCTCCTGAGTAGCTGGGATTACAGGCACACGCCACCATGCCCAGCTAATTTTTTGTATTTTTAGTAGAGATGGGGTTTCACCATGTTGACCAGGATGGTCTTGATCTCTTGACCACGTGATCCACCCGCCTCAGCCTCCCAAAGTGCTGGGATTACAGGCTTGAGCCACTGCGCCCGGCCTTAATTTTTGTATTTTTAATAGAGACAGGGTTTTCCTTCACCACGGTGGCCAGGCTGGTCTTGAACTCCTGACCTCAAGTGACCCACCTATCTTGGTCTCCCAAAGTGCTGGGATTACAGGCATGAACCACTGTGTCTGGCCCACGCTTGCCTTATTTTTAAGAAAAACACAACTTTTTGGACCTTGGTAAACAATTTCTACTCCCTTTTGTTTGTCTTAGCATTTCTGTGATCCCCTCTCCTTTATTTAAGGATATACAAAATATGAAAGAATATAGCAAAGTTTAAGGTATTCGTATCCTCATTCCAAATATCACTTGATACAAATTTCTCTTTCCTATTCTGATCTTTTAAAAGTTAAAATCTTACAAAAGTAACTGTGATCCAGAAGGTGGACATTATGAATAGTATGTAAAGGAACCAAAAGTCTGTGGTTGAGCCATGCTGATTAGACCCTGTAAAAATAGTGAAAACATTAATAATCATAAATTATGGTGTCACCTACATAATTGTCTGCTGGAAGTGTTTGCATCTGTGAGTCTGATGGCTGGTTAACAGAAAATCTAGTACACACATATTAATTTAAGGTTTAGTGACTCATCTATCCAGTTACCCAATGTTATAGTCATAAAATTGTGGCAGTATACCCATGAGGGTACTGGATTAAAACTGACAATGTAAATGTACTCCGTTTTACAGTTTGAAGATGAAAATCATTTTTATAAAACATGAATGATTAACTTGGCTTCTTAGGAGCCCAGAATTAATGCATAGGATTATTTGGGGACTGGGAAACTGTAATAAAGTTTTGACATTGAACTTTCCTAGTGGCAAATTTAGGAATTCTACAAATCTTACGTTGAGTTTTCCTATTCAGTTAATCTAACGAATATTTATGGAGCACCTATCATCAGGCACTGTGGTGGACATAAAGGATGAAATGCTGAAGAAGATGTTGGCCCTGCCCTCAATATGTTTACAGTCTAGTAGTAGAGACTGATTAGTAATTATCAGAGTGATTGGCGCTATGAAGAGTTAAGTTTAGGATGCTCTGAGAACACAGAAGAAGGATATCCCATTGCATTTAGGGGGCTTAATAAAGGTATCCCCAGTGATCTTCCCATTGAGGCAACTTAAGCTGATGATAAAATCCCAAAAAGGGAGATATTAAGAAAAGACAAATATTTCCTCATGTTTCATAAGAGGCAGCATGGTGTGCTTCTGAAAAGCACATTGTGTTTCAGAAGACGTGGGCTAGGGTTTAACTCCACTGCTGACCAGCCTCTACAAGCCTCAGTTTAATCATCTTAAATAGGAAAAATAATTTCCTGGTCAATATCCTGAGATCATTATAAGGATCAAATGAGATAATGAATATGAAAGTGTATTATAAACTGTAAGGTGCTGTATAGATAGATACTGTTTGTTTGAAATGGTATTATTTGCTTAGGCCTTAATTACCCACTAATTGGGCACCCACCATAGACAATATACAGACCCAAAACCTCACAGCCTTATCTAAAACATATGTATTAACAGATGAAAAACTGAGGTCCAGAAAGGCTTCTGAGCTCCAAGCTCACTGGGTGATGAGGGGCAGAGAGGACCCAGCTCAGGCTCCAGTTGCCTTGATGAAAGTCACATGCCCAATCTCACCTACTTGCTCATGCTCAGTCTTGTGATCTCTGGTTTTTCTTTGTTTGTACTTTGTCCCTTTGTCCAATCAGACCTGGGCTTTTCTGAAAGCCAGAGGGACTGATTCCCTTTTCTCTTTTCTCTCCACCACCTCACAATGAACATAGTTTTGGGTATCCGAAATTCAGCAACTACTTCTTGGGTTAATTGGGAACCTGGGATGAAACCTGAATAGCAAGTGTATTCCAATTAATGCAGTTCAATATACGTAGCTCTGAAATGTTGTCTCTGTATAAGTCACTGTACTAAGACACAAAGTGTGCATTTTAGGATAATATAATGATGAGGCCATGTGGGGAAAGTGGGAAGGTAGAGGAGCAGATATGCCCTCCTCAAACTGGGATCTGTCTGAATTATGTCTCTGATGAGGTGTAGTTGGCTTCCAGCTGCTTTCTCTTTGATCACTCTAAAGCCAGATGCATTTTCTTTCATTTCTCACTTAAAAATCAACAAGCAACTCTAGGCAAAGCTAAGTCCTACTTTTTATTTGAAGTTGTGGGACAGTGATGTCCTGAATTACTCAATGTGAGAGGTAGTAAAGTATAATGGTAAGAACTCAGGCAAAGGGAAACCATGCTTTTGAAACTTTTCACAAGTGGTAGACTCTTAGATTTCTTACTGAAAAAACTTAGATGTAGGACATTGTGAGGACTAAATTGAAGTAGTCATTCTAAATCAAATGTGATTTTGCATCTTGGGGGACATTTGGCAATATCTGGTGACAATTTTGGTTGTCACAGCTGGGGATGGGCAATGCTAATGAAGTCTAATGAGTAGAGCCAGGGATGCCACTAAACATCTGAATGCAAAGGACAGCTCAACATAACAAAGACTTACCTGGCTAGAAATAACAGTGGTGTCAATGTTAAGAAACCCTGCTTTAAACACCACTATGACATATTATAATGTATATAGTGTGCACATAGGATAGGAATAAATGCTATCCATCACTTACATAAATTATTATGAATTTCATAAAGAATCTTTAGTCATGAAAAATGTCAGTAAACTAATGAAAAAAATGATGCATTATGGGCAATAAAACAGTAACATACTCAAAGAATTTGCATCCTTAGAGCTATAGATTGCAGTAATAAGTGAAGTAAAACTCACAGAAACAATAATAGCAAGTAACTTCCTTATACATCTGTGAATGGATTTAAAATATAAACAAAAATAAATCTATAAGCCTGTTAGAAAAGAACAGCTGCAGGATGTGTAGGAATGAAAATAAACAGATTATATCAATAGTCCATAATATCTTTGTTAAGGAAGGCAAAACAATGGAGTTTATTGATTTTTTAGATCTGCTGATTAGATATTTAGCTGCACTATTTATCTTCACATACCCACTATTTAATGCGGTGCTGGCACATAGTCGAGGTTCAATACATATTTGCTGACTAAATGAACGGGTGCCAGAGAGATAAGCAGAACTTAATTGATTCACAAGTTTCATATTCTTTGAACATTTCATTCACTTTTACCAAAGAAAAGTAACTAACTCATCAAATTTGAAATTCAGTGCCTGGTAACCATCTGGGCTCCTGCAGCTCTTTGCTGGTCCCTTAAACTCCTCCTCCAGCATCATGTTTTATTCATCTTTTTATCCTTGGGCTTAGCCCTGGTGCCTGGCGCATCCAGGGACTTGATGCATGTTGTCAAGCCTTAAGGGTCTTCTTTTGTTACACTCAACCATCTTCATTCCCCACCTACCTAAGCTGATCCCATCAGTCTTTCACTCTCAGGAGATGCCTTCACCCTTTACTTGCTGGACAATCAAGGCAATTCAGCACTAGCTGAATGAGTGGCCCATTTTTCATTCTCTTTAGTTTCACATTCTCCTAGATTCTGCTCTTCTCTGTCATCCTCTTTCCTACTTGTGAGAAGAGGTGTCTTTCTTCCTTTTTTTTTTTTTTTTTGAGACAGAGTCTTGCTCTGGTGCCTAGGCTGGAGTGCAGTGGCACAATCTTGGCTCACTGCAACCTCTAATCCCAGGGTTCAAACGATTCTCCTGCCTCAGCCTTCTGAGCAGCTGGGACTATAGGTACGTGCCACCACGCCTGCCCAGCTAATTTTTGTATTTTTTCAATAAAGAAAGGTTTCACCATGTTGGCCAGGCTGGTCTCGAATGCCTGACCTCAAGTGATCTGCCTGCCTTGGCTTCCCAAAGTGTTGGGATTACAGGTAGGAACCACCATGCCGGCCTCTATCTTTCTGATGCTCTGTTTAGTTACTGCTCACTCCCCTAAGATCAGGCAATGTGCTGCAGTGAATGAAACAAGGAATGCTTGAAACTTTGTTTTATAACTTGCTGTGTGACCTTGTGTGAGTCATTCAATTTTTCTGAGATTCAATTTCCTACTGTCAAATAAGAGTGGGAATAAGATCTGCATGAATACTTCAAAAGACCAATTGAGATAATGTATATGAAAGTGTTTTATAATGTAGATACTTTAAAAAGACATGTTTTTATTCTATAAATTCATTAATTGGTGATATGCAAAATATAAACTTAGAGTTTATCAATATAGCAAAGTTCCTTTCTTAGTTTATTTCACTGGAAACTTTGAAGTTCAAATTGTCATGTCATTGGCTGAGAAGCCATTCATTCTGTGGGATTCATTAGGGCCGCTTAGTTCAGGATGCGTCAGAAGCCAAGAAAGCAATCATGCATCATCCACCTCACTGAACCCAAGAATAATATAACTTACAAAACTAAAAACCCAAGTGCAGCCAGTGGTATGGATTATTGATAGTCAAAGCTGTGCATAGTGTCCTTAAATTAAGAGTGTTTGTACCCATCTGAAGAGCCTGTGAAAATCTCTATTCATAAGCCATAATCTGTAAACATGTAAAGGGGCCCCCTCTCTCAGAATCAGATGGTTCAGAAGAAATGACAATGAGTCAAGGATCTTAGTTCACCTCTGCTTCTTTATCTGAATTCTTAATAGATCACAAAGCATCACTCTAAGTAGACACAATGCTATTTGTTTGCTTTCAGTGAAGCAACCTTATAGCCAGAAAAGACAGAGCCACAGGGAGAATGTGAAGGAGGAAGACTTCCTCCTGTTCCGCGGTGGGCTTACCTCAAACCCAGGGCATCCTGGGAATTCCCAATTTCAAATCTACTCCCCAGAAATAGTGGTTACTGTTATTGTTACCCTTCCTATAGTATTCTGTATTTCTTTATCTTCACTGTTGTCAAACATGAACAACTCCCTCTTTGAAATCCTCTCTTGACCCTGCTGCCACTGCCGACTACTTAACTGCTTTTGCTATTAGCAAGCTTCTTAAATGAATGATCTATATCAACTCTTGTTTCCCCCCATTTGCTCTTTATATTTATTTTAATTAATTAATTTATTTATTTATTTTGAGACAGGATCTCACTCTGTCACCCAGGCTGGAGTGCAGTGACATGATCTTGGCTCACTACAACCTCCGCTTCCAGAGTTCAAGTGATTCTCCCACCTCAGCCTCCCAAGTAGCTGAGATTACAGGCACCTGCCACCACGCTTGGCTAATTTTGTTTTTGCATTTTTGGTAGGGATGGGTTTTTACCATGTTGCCCAGGCTGGCCTCAAACTCCTGACCTCAAGTGATCCTCTCGCCTTGGCTTCTCAAAGTACTGGGATTACAGGTGTGAGCGACGGCGCCCAGCCCCATTTGCTCTTTAACCCCTTCCCATGATTAGGTGTTCTTCCTCACTGCTCTGCTGTGACTACATTCCAAATTATCCTGGCCACTCAGTCCCTTTTTTTCAGTCTTCAACCTGGTGACCTTGGCAATGTTTTCCACTGTTGATCACTTAAAAAAAAAATACACCTTTTTTCCCAGATTTATTTGGGATTCCACCACAGGGATTTTGTCTCTGATGTCAAGCAGAACTAAGTTATAATTCTGGCCTAGGACAATATCAGTGCGGATTAAATGAGTGAATGTCTGTAAAATAAATGCTTAGCACAACACATAGCACATTGCAAATGACCACGAAGCATTGGCTATTATTATTGTTATGATTTTCAAAGTGCTGCATGTCTCTGGCTCTTATTGAATCCTTTTCTCCCATTTCCTAGGCTCAATCTTCAGACTTTTTTCTTTCTCCTCAGTTTCTCTTCAGAGCTGTGTTTCATCTCCACATCTTTAACCATCTCCTTCATGTGGGAGATTCAAAACCTACGAAGCCTCCAGCTATGACCTCTTCCCTGAGCACTAGCTTATTTCTATGAAACTCCATGAAAATTGTCATTGCTTTAAATCTGACACATCTAACCCTGTGTTTTACATCATGTGCCCAACAAATCCTCTTAATTTTTCTAAGTGAACAATACTGTATATTATACCCTCAGCCATGAGGCTCCTACCTGCTTTAACTCTTCCTTTTCCATTGTTCTTCTCTAATCCTGCTGGTGAGTCCTCAGAATGCCTTTTATGAATACATCCATTCTTCTCTCCAATTCCTACTTGCATAACCCTTAAAAACATTTTTCTTTTCTTTTAATTTCAGATGCATAACATCTTTTAAAATGTGACAATTAGTGACATTAAAAATATATACATAGAGAGTCCTATTTTGAAAAAAAAAACAAATATGAAGAAACCTATTAGACATTCTTGGGAAACCTAGAGAGTCTATGAACATCCTTATCTTTGCGGCTGGTTACCCCACCTGCAAGCAGAGGGCATGGAAGCAAAGGAATAGCTCGGAAGTGCTCTTCCTACTAACTCAAATGTGTAACCGTCAGCGGGCATATGGTCATTCAGGTTAAATTTCAGTGCTTTTCTTGGTAGATCCATTTCATAGCCAGAAAGCTTTCTGTATTAGTGATAGGATAGACTCTGGATTGGAGTCAGAAGACTTGGGTCTCATTGGCGGGTCTGCTGGAGCCAAGAGACCTGGACCTATTTTTCTTATCTCTACAGCGAAGGATTTGGACATGATCAACCTTTATGCTTACTCCATTTGTAAAATCTATTATGCTTCTAAGATTTATAGATGATAGTGATATTCTTGATTTTATTCTTAAAATTATATTGGGTAAAACCCAAGATAATATGACAGACACAAATATAATTTTGGTATGGATACAGTTCCAAATATAATTTTGTTATGGCTACAATTTCACTCTCTTATTTTCCCTGAGTGACAGAGCAAATCTGATATGCTTTAATAATTTTGTCATCTATTATAAAAAGTAAGTGTATGTTCATTAAGTATATCTATCTCTATATATGCCTTTCAACTTATAATAGCTAATGCTTATTTTTCTTCACACAGAACATTGGAATGCACATTTATATGCTATGGAGAATATCTGACAATCTCACAGTGACTTTAAAAGGTACTGCATTCCATCTTGCTTTGGAAACAAACTATGTGGTTATTATGCCCACAGCTTGAAATGTCCCATCAACAGATTATTGTTGGTGATGGGGAATTCCAGGCTGGTGAGTGGGAGAGAGCAGACTGGGAGCTCTTTCATAATCAGTGGCTCCCTGGTTGCCATTATAACTGTGGCTTGAAAGAATTCTTTGTTCTTTGTCCAGGCTTAGCAAGTATTCTGGGACTTTTAGCAGCAGCTGGTAGTGAATCAGAACTATAGAGTCATGGGATTCCAGCTCTGGACAGCACCTTAGGAGGCAGTACAGCAGGGTAGTACAGGCTCTGAAGTTTGCTAGTTTGGGTTTCAATTCCAGCTCCACTCCTCACTAGCTATGTACTCTTGAACAAGTTGCTTATCCTTTCTATGACTTGTAAAAGGAATAATACTTCATGTCTCACAGGGGGATTATAAGGATGTGATAACATAGTGCTTTGCATAGTAAGTACTGAACACTTTTTAATATACAACTCCCTCACTTTATAGAAAAGGAAGAGAAGCTCCAGGTGCCACAGTGAGTTAGTGGCAAGTCCAGTGCTGGAAGGGAGCGCTCCTGACTCCCTATCCTGCTTATAGCTTGTTCTAGTTCTTTGGAATCACCTGCCCTACCCCGATAGCTCACTGAACCTGAAATGGAAGAAGATGAGAGGTGGTGACTAAGCAGATATGTGGTAGCAGGCCATCTCTCCTTCTGTAGTCCCTCTGCTGATTTTTCATTTCTAGACATCTCTTGCATCTATGCCTCACTTACTAGTCTGTTATCACCCTCAGTGTTTATAATCAAGACTGTGTCAAAAGATGTATCGACTTTAAATAGTCATTAGCAATTGCTAAATGCTCACAGTTTGATAAACAGAGGGTTTTTTTTTTTTTGCTTTTTAAAGAAAACAATGATAATTGAATGAAATAGTATCATATCTTTGACTTTACTGCCTCCTTTGCCCCCACTGCAACCTCTGATATTTACCAAAAGAATAAGCTACATCCTGCATGATGGCTGGCACCTCACTGCTTTATCATTGAATGAGTGCTACATGCCATTTCAGTGTCTGAGGGTATGGACTCTGATAATGGCATCCCTTAGATGAAGCCAAGGTTACTTAGATCTGTGCTCCAAGCTCCTCCTGCCCCATCACTCCTGGGCCATTGCCTACCAATTCCATTTGGTGTACTTTCTGAAGTAATACTCAATAAAAAGAACATCAATGGTCAGTGTCTTAAAAATAAAAAAACTGTCAGAAAATTAATAATACAAAAGAATTAATTGGGTTCTCTAAATATCTCAAGTTGTTTATAACTCTCCCTGCCATTGTAAATATTTTTTGATTCTCACTCTTAAAAATAGTAACTGCCATTTATTGACACTGTGTGTCTGGCACATTACTTACTGGGGAATCACCTCATCAGTAAGTGGTAGGGCCGGAATTTAAGCCCACTGAGTCGGCTGTGAAAGCTTGGCTTCCCGGGCTCAGCTTTAATTTGCCTTTGAAGTGTGAATGCCTGTCCATTGTCAAAGATGTAGTTCAAGCTGTTCCTAATTTTAAAATATTAGAAACAATCCACATATTCAAAAGTATGGCATTGATTAAATAAGTAATGATATATCTATTCAATGGAATAACATATAAAGGATGAGAATTAAAATTCATTGACAGAAAAAATAAAATTTTGTGAGTGAAAAATGTTTATAAATCAACACCACTAGTAAAATCCTACTTATGTGGAAACCATTGCACCCCCTCCCATATGTACAATATCTAGCTCTCCATCCAGAGAAAAAGTCTAGGGGGACACACAACGACAATGTTAACAATGGGAATGCTCTGTGTCATGTGCCCTCCAAATTCCTATGTTAAAGCCTTAACCCCCAATAGGATGGTATTTGGAGACGGGGCCTTTGGGAGGTAATTAGGGTTAGTGATGGAAGGGAACACTTCTAACTCATGAGGTCATGAGGGTGGGGCTCCATGATGGGAGTAGCACATTTATAAGAAGAGATACTGGAAAGCTTGCTCCCTTTCTCTCTGTACATGAAGAGATCATGCAAGCTCACAGCAAGATGGTGACTTCCTACAAGCCAGGGAAAGAGTCCTCAGAGTGAAACTTACCTTGCAGATACCTTGATCTTGAACTTCTTACCCTCCAAAACTGTGAGGAATAAATTTGTGTTGTCTAAGCCACCTGGTCTATGGTATTTTGTTATAGCAGCTCCAGCAGACTAATACACTCCAGGTGGTGAGATTCTGGATAAATTTTGCTTTTTAAAAAATATTTTGTTACTTTCTCTCTGTTCTGAATGAGCAAAAAGTATTCTTATAATAGTAGCTCAATAATATATCCCCCAAAGCATACAAGATAAGAAACATCACATTTCTCAAATGTTACCTCCTCGGGGAACTTTCTCTAGATCTTTTCAGGTACTTGCTTCATGTTTTGTTTCATGACCCTGCCTTTTAGAGCTCATGTCTCACCTCCTTGCAGGACTTTTGAAGTCTCCTTCTCATACACCTTAGAGGTATGTAAGGGTGAGGGGGCAGGTATCTATCCATCTTTGTATCCCTAAAGACTGCACTGCTTGACACCCACAATGGGTTCCATAAACACTTTTCCAATAGTGAAGAAGAAGAAAAAATAATGCCACACATGAATGCTCCTGAGATGCCTCTGCCTATTCTGATGTGATCGAATTCTGTCTCCAGCAAAGGGAGGAATGGGGTGAACATTGTTATGTTTCTCTGCCTCCATGGAAAGAAGTAGAGTAACTAGCATCATGGAGACAACAGGCATGCTCCCCAAGAAACCAGAGTTGAGGGAGAAGAGGGATCTGACTTCTCTGTGCTACCTGACAGATGGAAGGCCCGGAGGCATTGAAAAGGAGGAGTTTAGGAAGAATGCTGGCCTCAGAATTCTCCTCCCACCTATCTATCCATCTGATCATCTATCCTTCCTTTTATCCAATCTCCTATCTGTCCATCTGTTCAGCTAGCCAACCCTCATTCACCAAATATTTATTGAGCATTTGCTATGCACTCTCACTAGGGATAAAGTGTTAAACAAAACAGACATCAGATCAATTCAGGCTGGTGTCCTAGCTCAGCCATTTAACTGTCACCTTGGGAAACTTACTTGCTCTCTTTGAGCTGCTTTCTTTATCTGCACATTGGGGATTCTAATCGCTACAGTGAAAAGTATTAGAAGAAAAACCGTCCATATATGAAACACATAGCATTGCAGCAAGACCACAGTATGTGTGCCACAAACAGTAGTTTTGGCAGTTCTATATCTCCTCCAAAGACCCCTGCCTCCCACCCTCCTGCTGCAAAGGACAGCATTTCTGTGTGATCTTCATACACAGCAGCAACAAGGATCTGTGGGACAATGTTTGTCTGGAAGTGGAGATGAGACCCAATGAGAGTTGGTGGCAAGTCTCAGGCTTACCGGTCCTTGAAGAGCAGGAGCTCCTTCCCCAGCATTGTCACAGCATCAAAGGATGAGCTGGAGTCACAGAGGTCGGGGGTGGATGGCTTATGAGGCGGGGCATGGGGCACAGTGGGCTTTCCCAGGAATGGTTTCCGAGGTCCTAGGATTCAAAATGACTTGGTCAAAATGGTACTGGGAATTTGGAGTTCATATACTTTTGTTCTAGAGCCCCAGGGGAGGCTGTACACTTTCACGCTGGATATATGATCATGACCATGGCTGTTGAGGGCAGGTAGATCTGGGTTTGAATCCTGGCTTTCCTGGTTGCTGAGGTGTGTGAGTCAAGGCAAATTATTTAACTATTTAAGCCTCAGCTTCCTCACTTGTTAAAAGGGAGGGCTAATAATAGTACCCACCTCAGAAGGCTGTTGTGGGAATTAAATAATTCCTGTTAAACAGGTAGCAGGGTGCTTGACACCTAGTAAGTCTTCTAACAATGGTCACTATTATTTTATTACAGAACTTCTTTGATATCTACAAGTGTTCCAAATTAGAAATGTAATTTAAAAATTGTCATGGAATATTTCTTTGTAATTAAGTTCTTTTTTCTCAATGAGATGATAACTTTCTTGTGTGTTTTCCTATGATTTTCATATATTCCTTGGCATCTGTCCCTGTGCTATGCCTTTTACTAGGCATCCAGGGAAAACTGAGTGAATTCTTATGGAATTGAAGTACACTGAATATATTGCTATTTACAGCTATCTTCTGGTGGATCCTCTTGGAAAACATAGACCCAATTCTTGTGAGATCTGTCAGTGAGTCTCCCCTCCTGCTCTGCATCTCTGAGGACCGTGCCTCAGCTCCAGAAGAATGAGCCTGAACAGCTTGGACTGTCACCTTTGGCAGGTCCCTGCTCTTTGGTGAAGCCTTGTCATAACCACTGGTGAGAGTCAGGGAAGGAATGAGGCACAGGGAAGGGAAAGGTTCAGGCCTTTGATAAGGTTCAGATGAGATTTGAGATCAGGGATGGAGTAGGGTTAGCAGCAAGGTGAAGATCAGAGGCAGGGTGAGGTTATGGGAGAAGATCGAAGCTGGAAATTGAAGAGGGTCAGGAGCAGTGAGCAGTCAGGTGGGTAATATGTATGCTCCTTTGTAACGTAAACCCATGTTTTAACATTTCATTCACCTGCCAAAATATGTGCTTTGGTTCCTGGCTGAGTGACAGTGGCCATCTGAAGGCAGTGACCTTCCAGGGCATAAGGACCTCTAAAGGCAATCGTTCAAGCTCAGCCCTTCTCAGTGGCCCACAGGAATTGCTTCCCATTGGAATGCTGCCACCAAGGGTCTGGAGCTTAGTTTGTAACATGGAGACATTCACAACGTTTTTCCTGTCCCTCAAGGGTGGGGTAGATCTGGTGCTTTCCCCCTCCTGGAAATGGATAGAGCTGGCTGAAGGCTTCTTCGGATGAAATTTGTCTTTTGTGCCTCAGGTGAAATCTGACTGATTGTGAATTGTGGGCCCATCTGTGGGCTTTCTACCATCCAGATCCCCTAGGGCCAGATTCCTAGCACCCCACGAAGGTGCTGGGAGATCTGGGTCTTAGGCACTGAGAAGATGGGGAGAGGATCTGATAAGCAGAAGCCTAATAACCAGTTCTCCAGGGCTTAAGGGAAAAGCAGTTTCCTAGATCTTTTTGCCTTTTATCCATTAAAAAACATTGTCAAGGTCTAAGGATGTTTCAGGATTCCTCCTGATGAATTAATTGGTTTGTTTTTCCCTTAAGGAAAACTGGATCCAGAGTTTCTAATAATCCCTTATTACCTTTTGGAAGAAATGTTAACACTTGAGGTAAGTTATCTTAGGATATTTTAGGATACTTACTGCCTTTGAACCTCAGCTTTCTCAGCTATCAAACGAGGAAAACACTTCACAGCCCACAGGTTTGTTGTGAGGCTGATGTGAGACGACAAGCATGAACCTGTTTTGTAAATGGCAGGTTGGCTACATGACTGGGTGGTGGACTTATTTTAGTCATGATTGCTATTTTTAGAAAGATAAGGTCACACTTATCTGCAAATGGGTAAGCACCACATATGTGAACTATAAACTATATCCATCCTCTCCCAATGTGTACATTCTGACCTGCACTCAAAGAAAAAAAAAAGACAGACAAATGACTATATTTCCTAAGGCTATCCAGGACTACTACGCTCTGAAGCAAAGATGTAAAATTAACCACACATCACACACATATTTACAACTGGCAAATGAGCTCTTCATAAGAAGGCATAGTTGGGGCTATGGTTTCTAGATTAATTTTTACCAATGCAGATAAAATGTACTTTCTTTAAATTGGAGACTGAACGCCTGCCAATTTGAGGGTTAGTGGTCAAAGAAGGTAATGATCTTACCATATAATGCCTGGATCCCTTTCACATCATCTTTGGGGAGGTGGAATCCATAGGGATTCTGGTACTTATAAGTTGGATACATCAGTGCTGATGGGTCTGTGGAATGGGCCAGGCCCAGGGCATGGCCAAATTCATGAGCAGCAACGGTAAACAAATTAAAACCTGGACAATATGAGAAAGAAAAAACAGTATTAACACAGGTTTTTGTTTTCTCCATCTTCTGTCTTTATAAGTTAATTTATGCCCACATCACAGTTAACTCATCTCCTTTTCCTAACTAGATTATTCAAGGTTGGTAGGCTATTCTGGCACTTAGCTTTGGTGACTTTAATTCTTTCCCCCTGGTGTTGGAGGTGGGGGAGGATAAAAATGCACATAAATCCATTTAGTTTATCATCAGTGATGTTTGGTAGACTGATAAAGGAAGGCCTTGGAGCAAATAGTGGCAACGATATTTGGCAATAATTCATAGATTTAGACCACAAATGCCTTAATAGTTCCCTGCTATTATAGCCTACACCTTTTGATCCACATGTTTCACACTGAAGATTTCCAGATGACCTGTATGATATTCTGGAACCTTTATTCCCATTCCCATCACAATTCTCAGGACAGTACTGATTCTCTTGGGTCATTTCTGAGTGTAGCCTATTTCTAAGAACAAGTAAGAAATCATAAATAATTGTTGAAGGAAAAGCGAGCAGCGTGTTGAGAAGGGGATGACTGGTTCTTCAGATGATATGCTATGAAACAGATCAGACAAGTCTACAACACAATTTGGGGTGGATTTTTTTCCCTTATGTGATCCCTTTTGGATTTTTGGCTTACTTGTTTTTCCTAGCCAGCCCCCCTAGTTAAAGGGTGGCTTGGGACGTTGAACCTCAAGGTTTCATGATGGAGCCCAGAAGAAGGTACAATATTTTCCAGGTTATGGTGAATTGTGCATATATACCATTCGTTCCCATAGTCCACTTCTCAGCATTGTCGAAATGTGTATCTCCTCCCAGGCCTTCTCCAGGAGCAAATGCATGGGCTAGAGTCCCCCGAGGCCCATCAAATGGATAGGAATCCCCGTGATCTAAACAAGTGGGGAGAAAGGCCAACAGGATTGAGTCCTTCTAGTAATTTTGAGGGACACATCATATTATAGAAAATGGACATTTTGAATAGCATTGACACTTAAATTTACATGTCAGTATTTATTTTTTATAATAGGAAGTTCATATGTCAATGAATAATGGCCCAGTGAAAAATAAAAAAGGCGAATTTATGCTGCAAAGATAGTAAGTGTTAAAAATTTTAAAAACATCTTTTTTGGGTTATTGTTTTTATCACGACATCTGTTAACTGACACATAGGGTACTGTGGACTTTGCATGTGCCATAGATTACAAAAGGAGAATGAACAGGGGGGCATTCGATAGCAACCTACTCCACTGATTGGAATGTGAACCTGCTGGGAGAATGACCTTTTGAATTTGATTCAGCTGAGACAGGTACAGTGAACTGAACAAGTGTGTGCTGTTTCTATAGCACAGTACAGTTTAAGGGAGTGTGAAAAATCTGTAATTTTGACATATTTGCATGTGGAAAACTTATGAAAGTCATAAAACTATTTATAAAATCCTAACTTTTAAGGCCTTTTATGGTTTCATTTAATTATTTTAATTAACAATTCATTACAAATTTAATAGAAGAGGAGGAGGAAGAACAAAATGAGGGATATCATTTACAGCTTTAAAAAATCTTAGTAAGGATACCCAGTTTTAGTTTTTTTGTAAAAAAAAAAAAAACCAACAGAACAAAGTTCTGGTATGCCATTTCTCAGGTTTCAGTAAAATGCAGTCTATTTAGGTTGCGTGCACAGAGAACTTAATGCAACGGCAGCATAGTCCCTAGTTGGCATGTGTATTAGAGGACAGACTGCAAGCTTGAAAGATCAAGAGAGAGAGCCAGACATTCACTCCTTGGCCTTCAAAGCTTCCCCGAGTCACACTGCCCTCCCTGCCACTTCACCAGGGGTGGCCTTTTTCCTCTGGGAGGAACAGGACCTGCCCTGGGCCAGATCACACGCAGGGCCATTTCTAAAGGCTGTATTCTCAGGATTTGCTTGATCTTCTCTCTCCTAACTCCTAAGCATGTTTTCACCCCAGTGATATGAGATTAAAATTAAGATCTGGACTTGAAATGACAAGGACACTTAGAAATGTTATCTGTTGAGGGGAAGAATGGGTAGTAGTTCTCATTTACCCTATTAGGAAGCTGAGAAGGGAAAGAAATTTCATGAGCCATTTGGGCCTCCCTTTATCTATTTCCTAGACTTGCTTCTCTGAAAAGGGCTCAGAGCTCTCACCAATCCCTGTGCAGACTTACACCTCTACTCTTTACCACGGTGAGCAATGGAATAGAGAAGAAGTGGGCAAGTTGGAGGCAGGCCTCTCACATATCTCCCAAAAGGTGGTCTGCAAGTTTGGGCAAGACAGGAACGACAGTTTCCTAACCATTGCTGCAGGGGGAAAGCTGCATCGAGGTCACTGTGGAATGTATTTTCTTCAGTGAGGATTCACGGTGGGGTATTCTTGGCTGATATGGAAGGGAGTATATAGTGATGAACACCATCACGGGAATGGATGGGGTCAGGTGGCCAATGGGAAAGCAAAATCTACAAGAATTTGTTCCCTAGTGGGGTAAAGTCATAATGAAAGTTTGTTACAGTGAATCTGCTCTACAGCTGAGTCTGATGATGACAAGACATGCTAAGAACTCTTTTGGTTCTATTTTCTGGCTGGATGAAGATCATGACTGCCATGGTCTTGGCCTCTACCCATCACAGTGCTGTGTGAAGAAGGAGTGTGATCACTCAAATTAAAGATATAGAAGGAAGAGTACTGGGTTAACTCTCCCTGGAATTAGTAGATGGAATCCAAGTACCACAGTACCTCCAGTTTCAAAAGATATCATAATATCCGCTTCTCCTGCGTTTATTCTAACAAAGTTCAGAGGAACGGCGCTACTCCAGGCCTGCAAGGCCATCCCCACTGCTTTGTCCACCTCAGCAGGACTCATAGATGGTGTGTATTTAGATATTCTGTGAAAATAGAAAGAATATGTTTTCTTTTCAGTAACTGCTCTGAAGAAGGCAAGAATTATATGTTGTGTTCAAAAAATGTTAAACATAAATCTATAATTTAGATTTTTTTCTCTGAAGTTATAATTCTTATTTTGCTTTATTATATGTTAAATTGCTGCATATTAAACAACAAGACAAATGAAAGGGAGAGATGAGAGACAGTTGGGATAATCAAGTACTGAAACCCAGTTGAGTTTCATGGTTATTATACTACCACTAACTTAAAAGAATAAAACTTTGGCCGGGCATGATGGCTCATACCTGTAATTTCAGCACTTTGGGAGGCCACGGCAGGAGGATCACTTGAGGTCAAGAGCTGGAGACCAACCTGGCCAACATGGTGAAACCTTGTTGCTAAAAATACAAAAATTGGCTGGGCGTGATGGTGCTTGCCTGTAGTCCCTACTCAGGAGGCTGAGGCAGGAGAATCATTTGAACCTGGGAAGTGGAGGTTGCAGTGAACCAAGATTGGGCCACTGAACTCCAGCCTGGGTGACAGAGTGAGACTTTGCTCAGTTATCAATCAATCAATAAAACTTGTGTAATATTACAGGTAGTAAGTAGTCCATTTTTCTTAAAGTCGTTTTCACTGAGAGAGAACCCCTTTTTCCCCAACGGGACTGGAGGTTTTCAATTATAAAAAATAGAAATGCATTAGGAGAAATACCTAATGTAGATGATGGGTTGATGGGTGGAGCAAACCACCATGGCATGTGTATACCTATGTAACAAACCTGCACATTTGCACAGGTACCCCAGAACTTAAAGTATAATTTGAAAAAAAGAAGAAAAAATAGAAATGTGGAGTTTTGAAGTTTTGCTCATTCTTATTCAAAGCTCATCAGGATTTCCCCAGGGCTATTGGGGAAGGATGTTTTTTTCCTCAGAATAACGAAATTTTTTTTCTTTTTTTTGAGATGGTGTTTTGCTCTTGTTGCTGAAATGCAATGGCATGATCTCATCTCATCTCATCTCACTGCAGCCTCTGCCTCCCAGGTTGAGCCAATTCTCCTGCCTCAGCCTCCTGAGTAGCTGGGATTATAGGTGCCCACCACCATGCCCAGCTAATTTTTGTATTTTTGGTAGAGATGGGGTTTCACCATGTTGGCCGGGCTGGTCTTGAACTCCTGACCTCGGGTGATCCACCCCCATTGGCCTCCCGAAGCGCTGGGATTACAGGGGTGAGCCACTGCCCCCTAGCAATTACTGGTGTGACAATGACATCTGAAGGCAGAAAAATGTAGTGCTTTTTGGGTTGTGGGTGCAGTCAGAGTTGGTGATTGTTAGAACTTTCTGCTCTGAAGCCCAGGGTCTGGAGATTTCTGGCAGTGCACAAAGGAAAGGCAGGGAGGGCAACTTCTACCTGAGACCTTGGGTTCGGCTGGAATATGATGCAAAGTGGGAAGCTATGTCTGTGTGAGCCAACCCCTGGAGCAGGGACCAGCCCGGCCTCCTTTTTCTCTCTCTGTAGCTTCCATTCTAGTGCCTTGCAGAGCAGATGCTCAGCAATTGCTTGATAAATAAATGAAAGAATTAAAGGATAAAAGCTAGCTGTTTTATGGCCCACTCAGAGGCGCTCAAAGTTTACGACCTGTGATAATTACCTAGGAAGCTTGTTAAAGATACAGGTATGGTCCAGAACTCTGCATTTTGAAAGGCATCCTAGGTTATTATGATGCAGATGGTGCAATGTCAATGAGAAACCAACAGCAGTAATCCTGGCGTCCCAAATGGAAGGACTGTGTCCACAGAAAGGATAGACAAGTAGCTTAATTCAGAACTTGAGAGGGAAGGAACCAGGGGCTCTTTAACCCCAGGAGTTGGGGCCAAAAGAAGGGAGTAAAACCAGAAAGACCCTTAATAGGGCTATTTAATGCTTTCAAAGTATGCCAAGCCCACTGCATAGTATGAGACTGCAATTTACTACAACTAGGGAGACTTAGTACTTTGACACACCCTCACATTATTGATAGTCAGTCATATCTTTGAGCTGACTGTGAGTGTTGGCCTGGAGAAGACAAGGAAGGAGAGAGGGATAGCACCAGAGAAGAGGAGAACATGGAAAAATCCCCGATTCAGGGTCTGGAGCTTGATAAAGCAATAGTAATGCTAGGTAATATTCTTTGAAGTCATACTTATGCTGTTGCTGCATACATTTTAATGTGCCATTTATCTAATCCTCAGTACGAGCCCTAAGATGAAGATCATCATCATCATCTACATGTTATGATTAGTCAGGTTTGAGCCCAGTTCTGTCTGACTCCAAAGCTTATGCATATAAGAACTATGTTGTATTTTTTTTTTCCTTTTTTAATCCTCTGGGTTACATTGCAATAATTTATTCTGAAAGTCATTGCTGCACAGGGAGAGTACTGTGATAGTCTCTAGTGTCTTTTTTCATGGGGAAGGGACAGTGGAATTGTTGAGGAACAAGAGAGGATGGTTAATGTGTGTGTTGAGGGGGATTTAGGGCTGCCCAGCTTATCTCAAGGATATTATACTTACAGCTTACTTTAAGAAAACTATGAAAAGACTCTCAATGTGTACACATTTTTCTTGTCTTATTCTTACTGTGTCAGAATCAATAATGTGTTCAACTCCCTATGGGGTTTTTCTTCCCAAATTGCTTTGATTTTTTTGTTAAGCCTGCCCCCTTATGGATTTATTGGCTGATAGCAGGTTACAAGTGGCCTAGGAGATTCATGACTGTTCCCTGGGTTCTGGACCCTCATTTGATCAAACGGACTCACTGGTGTGCTGGAACAGTTTAAGTGGCTCTACAAGGAGAAAAAAAAATTCACTTGATTTGTATGACTTGCTGATTTCTGTGTTGCAAATATTCTCACTATGGCTAATTCAAGCTGTTGATTTACCATCACTGAACGCTAGGTTGGAAAGGGATGAGCGTGAATGAACTATTGTATAGTGTTTCCACCATACAGATTATTCAGATGTAGATAGCCTCATGAACAGAGATAATAATAAAATGAAGTGAAATAGAAAGTAATATGTTTTTATTATCTTTGTTTATAATATAATTTATTTAATTGTAAATGTACATGATTTAACAATGGCTGTCTTGGCAACCAGCTCACAAAATTCTTGGAAACTTAAAAACTAGCTTCAAAATTCCTGACATTTTAAGGACTGGCTTCTGAGAGCTATTAGGAGGCAGCTCTAACAGCTCTAACACACAACTGCTTGAACCATTGCACAAGTCCAGCCTTTCCCCATCTCCAGTTATCATCTAGATGTGCTCATCCTAAAGTGCAATCCAATCCTAGTCCTGGCCTAGCTCTCCACTGCCCTGGGGATAAAGTCCAGACTCCTTAACATCATGCTCTAGTTGCCCTTCAGGCTACCCCATCCATCTCATTTCCTGCCATTGCCCTTCCTGCACCCTCTCCTCTAGCGGAGTGCAGTAGGCACTGGTGGTGGGAATGCTGCCCACACACTCCCAGGCTGTCCACTCTCTGCTGCTATATGCTTGGCCCACTTTTCTTCTTAGCACCTCCTTACATGTGCAAGGCCTGGGCAAGACCACGAAGAGTGGAAGCCACTCTTCTTTTCCAAGCTGCTCCCATATGGCATGCATGAGGTCCATGCAGGCAGGCACCATCCACCTCTAAAGAGGGGCAGGTATCATGCATAGTTTGCCCTTGATTGGACCAGCCTGGGGAGGAAGTCTGCACTGGCCCCTCTGGCTCTGGATTAGGGAATTCCAGCCTCTGTAGCTTGAGCACAGCAGGGAGGGACAGAGGTTCTGGTTCGTGTTTCCTTTTGGTTTACACAGGATGAGACCAGAGGATTAGGGGAGGGAAGGAAGAGTGCAGGGAGGAAGGGAGGGAGGGGAGCATGGGGCTAAGAGTGGACCTGCTTCTACTTTGCCTTTGAATTGGGCTCAGATGTCCCTGCTTGGTCCCTGGGACACCTGGTAGCTCTCTCCATGTAAACTGTGGTTCCGCAATTCACTGCTTAGACCTATGATTTTGTACTTTTCACATGGAGCTACAGCTGTCTGTTTGCATGTCTGTCTCCCCTTAAAGGACTGTGAGTTCCCTAAGGTCAAGAAAGTTGACCTGTTCACCTTTATATCCCTCAAATGGAATGCATTTCTTGAATCATCAATAAAAGATTTTGGAATCATCGAAGTAAATTACTTTATTAGTAGGTGATTTTTATCTTTCTTATGAAGCAGGATGTTTTAAGAAAACTGGTTTATACTGCCAGGTCGTTAATCCTAGACTAAAGATAATTGTGTTGTTTCTAACTGGTAAAATTGTTTGGAGTGCCTAAAATAGCCATTCATTATGCTAATCATAAGATTATGTTTTCTGACGAATTGCCCGTTGTCATTGCCTAACAGTGGGACGTATAAAGTTCTTATTCTTTCTTATGGTTGTGAGGAGTCAGGATTTTTATACAGATGAGAAGGAAGATATTTTTCAAAGAAAAGAGAAAAAGAGAGAGGGGGTGCTTCTCTCTGGATTTGGAAATCTCGTTACCTGTATGTCAAAGTATTTTTTTTCCATTTGGGTTCACCTGGGAAGAGGCGATAATTGGCCACATCAGGAACTCCACAGCGAGGCTTCTTGATCACGTCCATTGTGGTCTTGTCTAACTTCCCAGTGACTTGGAGGCCAAAGAACGCTTGCAGCTCCTTAATCTTCCTTACCATGGAATTGCCTCCTCTCGAAACCATCTCACCAATCTGGTGTCCTTCTTTATTTGTGTAATATTTGTCAACATATGCCTGAAATGGAGAGGCAGGCTGACATGTCTACAGTGTAGTCTGGGAAATACTCATGCTCAGGTAGGGCAGGGTACAGCATTTCTGATGTATTAAAAACAGTATGTAGAGTATATTCCCATTTATGAAAAAAGTATAGATATTTGTATACTAAAGCTTAGCTGCACTCCAAATTATTAATCATGATTGGTTTTGGGTAGTGAGGATTATAGATTGTTTAATTATTACTGTTTGTCCACCTGCATTTTATAGTTTTTCTACAATGAATATAACAAACATGAATTTTTGCTTTAATTTAAAATAAATCATAGAAGGAAACTGATGTGAACATTATTTCCATGGATCACTTATTTGTCACTGAAGTTCTTTACCCAATTTGCAAAACAAAGGCTGTCTTGTTTCTTTGGTAAACAGTTATTGGCATCATCTTTCCATTACACATAATGCAGGATCAGTATGCTTTTAACTCCTGGAGGCATTGTATTCTAGCCTGTCACACTTTACAAAGGCAGAGGGTCCACCTGTTTTTCAGCTGTGGATTTTAATGAGTTCAGATGTATGTAGTATGTGGGCTGGAGTTTGTTTCTATGAGACAAGTTTCCTAGGCAAGGTTCTTTGTCCCTTGAAGCAAATAAAATAAGCCATAAATTATAAATCTTTCATTTGCACAAAAAGACATATAGCCCCTCAGTATGTATTATTCAAAACACTTTTCTATGACTCAGGGCTGGGGTTAGGGTAAATGAGTGATGCAGGGGCGTGCAAATACATGGTTGAAGCCTGCCTTTAGCCCAGGAATTTTACCTACTCAGCTGATTTCAGGAAAATAACCAAAGAGCAGCTAAGAGTTCAGTCATCTTTTCATATCCATGGGAGATTGGTCTCAGGACCTCTCTCAGATACCAAATCCACAGGTGCTCAAGTCCGTGATATAAATGGCATAATATTTGCATACAACCTAAGTACAGCCTCCTATATGCTTTAAATCATTTCTAAATTACTTAGAATACCTACTATAATATAAATGCTGTGTAAATCGTTGTTGCATTGTATTGTCTAGGGAAAAGCTACAAAAAAAATGTCTGTTTTGAACATGTCTGCCCTAAACCAAATGCAACCATTGATTTTTTTCCCTGAATATTTTCAACCTACAGTTGGTTGATTCCATGTATACAGATCCTATGGATACAGAGCACTTACTGTATTTAATTATATACAGTTTTATATTTATGTTGTATACAGATGTTTATTAGATATAAATTACATATTCATCTACATATTAACCATATATTTATCACATATAAACTATGCAATGTATTTACTTACATATTATGCACACATATTTTTAACATACATATAAAAATAATAAATAATTGGAAGTAATGTCTTATGACAGGGGATTTGTTATATATATTATTACATATTCGTGTGTGGCAATACTAGGCCTCTACTAAGATCAGTTTTGAAAAATAAATATTTAATGGTATGAAAGAATGCTTTTTATATAATGGCAATATACTGAGAAAAGAAGAGGAAAAATCTTTATAAGGTTTTAATAAAAATTTTTGGAATAAACTATACATATACACACATATGCACACACAAATAGCAAAAGGAAGTCTGTCTGAATATTAATGTTGATTATATCTGGGTAATGAAATTATGGATGATTTAATTTATTTTTTATTTTCTCCTATATTTCGAAATTTTTTACAATGAGCATGAACTGTTACTGATGGGGAAAAAATAAAAAGGAGTCTCACTTATATGTTTGGAGAAGGTGCTCTATTTTTTCACTGCAGGATCAGCAGATCCCTCACTCCCTGTCCTGCTGTCATTGCTTGTGGTCACTTTACTGGTTTTGTCCCTTGTAAAAACCTTAGGTGAGATGAGAAGCCAAGAGGAGGAAAAGGGAGAGGGAACATGGGGTGCCCAGGCCCTGAAACATAGACTAGGTGTTCTGAAACAAAGCTGCAACAATTTGGTTTCATTCCATCTCAAGTTAGACCACCTTAAGTATGTATTTATGTTTCTGCTCTTTTATGCAGGATGAGGTTGATTGGATGAGTTTTTCCTGTCTGCGCAAGTTGATGCTGTGATAATGCGATGCTTGTAGTAATGTCTCAATTATGCTCCTTAGGGTTAAGCTCTATGTATAAGACCAGGTGCTCTGTGTCTCTGGGATCGTTGATTTCAAATATTTTGTCTGTCTGTTAGGTTATGTGTTACACTCTATATTCTAATTTTTGTTTCACAAAATAGGCCATATGAGGGAAGATGTGCATGATAAATTAAGTGAAAAATGTGTTTGCCATGTTTACCACTGCTATTACAATAAAAGCTATGTTTATAAACAAAAGTGATATCTAGTCATACAATCCCAGTCATATCACCAGGCCTGAGATGAGGCCAGTGGCGGGGTGGCTTACCAAAAACTTTGTAATCAAGATAAATCATAATTTAATGCAGAATTGAAAAAACCAAAATCAATGCAAAAAATCCATGATAAAATTTCAGATTTTAAACACAGGATGTATTTTTGCCTTGGCTGTCTCACACTAATCCTGGCCCTGAATCCTAGAAAAGTGTTATGAAAGATATAGTCTAAGGGACTAATAGTGGTTAAACCTTAATGATGGAGTTAAGATGATGTATTTTTAAAGATAGGGTTTTTACATTTTTTCTTACTATGAACCTGCATAATTTTTACAACCAACTGTTTGTTCCTTTAAAATATGCACAGAATGTTAGAGCACAAAAGGTTTATGGCTGATCTTAAACCTTAAATCTTAAATAGGCAGGATTGAAACAGTACCTTTTAATTAAGTAAAAATAAAATTAGAAACTATTCCTTCTTAAAAATTCATCTCTGCAGTGATACAAACAAAATCTCTCCCTAGTTGGTGTTTCCATAAGACGTGATTCTTGCACTAGTAAAACACCTATCTCATTGCACTATAAACCATCACCTCCTACCAATTTCTTATCACTTTCACCTGCTTGTTTGCAACCTCCTTCCAATCAGGCACAGTTTTGCCTTCACAGTAACAAGCCTTGTATTTGAGTCAGTTCTAGGCTCAGAGTAGATGCTCAGTTAATGTTTGAGCTCTTTTTCTTTAGGCAAAATATAAAAGTATGTTCCCTTGAAGAACTATCAGATATCCTGAAGTACTGAGAGCTCGAAACTGCGTACTTTCTTGCTAAAGTTACTGACAAGGTTTTGGTATACTTTTCACGGTCACGGTATCTATCAAGCACTGAGGTGTGTACTTAGAATTGCTTTCATGTGATACTCTAACACTTGCATACTGTTGGCTTAGCGCTTATTGTTGGCACTGGGACAAAGAATTCAGGATCCACCAGAGTTTTTCCATTTCCCCCCAATCTTCCCCACTTCCTCATTGTTAAAATTATAGAATTTTAGAGTCAATTATCAGGTGGTCCCCTTTCCACTTCTCTTCTGGTATTTGACAGATAAAAGTAGTGGATGCCAGAGGGTCCATTCCTGCAGGCTAGCAGCTTTGATCTCCCTCCTAAGCCCTCATTCAGTGCATTTTCCTAGTGTCCTTCCTAAGACTTAAGAGTTTAAAATTCAGTTTAAGTACACTCCAAGACAGTGTGAAACTTAAGGTACGTTTCTTCAACATTTTTCTTTTTTGGCTAAGTTGCTGTCAGGTTCCAGGGTCAGGTTCGGGGACACAACTACACCAAATGTCATGCTCAGTGTCAGGTTCCAGCCCATGTTGAGGTCGGAGGGGACTGGGTGGTGGCTGATAGCTGAAAGAACCCTCAGGGAAGAGGAGTTGGGGGGGCATAGGCAGGTGAATATGGTTTTTTCAACAGCTCTCTCATCAGCAGCTTTCTCACATTGTTCTCTCATCAACTACTTTCTCATACTGTCTGCCTTGTTTCAGCAGCTTGGGCCAGCTGCTCCCACACACAGCTGCGTGGCTGGCTCTCCCTTCAGGGTCAGCAGCTTAACTCTTTCTCTCTCTGGGAACAAGCCAATTCCTGGCTCCTCCCTGCCCACCTGCAAGATGGATGACTTTGGTTCTCTTTCTCTGTTTGAGAGCACTCCTGCACAGTGTCAGCAGGGCATTTATACCTTTTACAGACAATAGTGACTTAGAGCCAAATGATGGCCTTTCCATGTGGTGGCTACATGGCTGTGGTAACAAGTGGAGTTATATGCCTGCACTCTAAACTTGCTGAGTCATGCAGGATGTTTACCTCAGCCTATGCCTGCTTGTCTGCAGCACAGCCATGTTCCTTACAGTCATACAAATAGATTTGTGAGAACTTTTAAAGCTATCTGAAAAATCTTAGGTTCTAGTCCAGGCTGGGTCACTAATATGCTTGGGCAATTCTTTTAATTTCTTGTGGTTTCAGCTTTCTCATCTATAGAGTGGTTGGTTTCTGCCCTACTGGCTACACCAGTGTGAGGATCCAATGAGGTCCTCAATGTGAATGCTTTTAAATGTGTCAAAATACTTTAAAAATCTCTTTTACTCATTAAATCCATGTCTGGAAACCTATCCTGAAAAAATAATTGTTTAAATTAGGTTGATGTATGTACAAAGATGCTTATAGAAGCCTTATTCATATGGAAGTAATCTGTTTGTCAAATAAACGAAATGGTCAAACAAATTATAACTCATATTCTGGAATATTTCTGGCTGTTTAAAATAATGTTATGAAAATAGTATAATATCAAAATTGTCTTATGACATAATAGTCAGAAAAGTAAAAACCACATTTTGAAGACAATGACAATTTTAAAAAGTCTTTATAATAGAAAATAAAATGATAGTAAAAACACCTGAATTAATAGTTTGTATTGAAAGGTTTTATTTTTATTTTCTTTAGTTATGAGTTCATAATAATATGGTAATTAAATTTTTTTGTTATTTTTAAAGATAATTTTAAAAATATGTTTTAAATGTCTTATTGATACTAATTTTCTTAAACAAACCCAGAATACAATCCTGGATTATGAGATTAGGTAAGCATTTTGTTATCTCATCATTTTCAAAGCCTTTATGCAAATGAGCAAATCAGAATTTAAAGGATGCAAGTGGACATTAAATAAATCAAGAAGCTGTTTATCTTTTCAAGTGTAGATTTTTTTGGGGTAGGGAGAGATGTATGGTGTTTGTAAACATGGACTATCTGGTGTTTCCAGGAGCCATTTGTTCTTTCTTAGCTAGTGATCTAACAGTTCACTTAGCAAGCAGAGAGGATCTCTAAGCACTCTCCCTGCTGAGCGTGACCCAGGCTGCCAGGCCCCAGAGGACCCGCTGGCCTCACCTGTCCTTGGGACTCCTCTGGGACCCTCTTCCCTGTCCTCTTAGCTCTAGTCACGTGGGCCTGATGATTGCATTTCAAGCAGCTGCTGTTTCCTCTGCCTGAACTGCCCCAACTCCAGTTCTTCACATGGCTGGCTCTTTCATGCAGCTCAGGTTCATCTCAAAGGTTACTTCCTCTGAGCAGCCTTCCTGGACTACTACATTAAAAATACTCCCTCCCTGGACCACTGCCCCAGTCAGTAACTCTCTGTCATCCTGATTAACTTCTTTCCAATCTCACTGATCACTTTCTCAAATAATCGTGTGCACTAATTGGTTGACTTGTTTATCTTCTCCCAGCACCTTCCCACCAGCTCCCTCATCTTCATGGAAGCACCATAAGAACAGGGGCTTGATTTGTTTGACTCCCTCATGTTTCTGCAGCACATGCCATGCTGTAAGCATTCAATACATGAACTTCCGCTGCCTATTTTACTGCTTTGTTTGTGATTTTATGAGGTTGTTATATAACCTTTCTATAAATTATAAGGTGGGATGTTATTAAATAATTCTTTCTTGTCATTGTGATCCTCATTAGAGGTTGTCCAGATCATTCCAGACTCTGGGTCCCTGCCCAGAGCTGAGGACCCAGACCATTGCAAGCAGAAGGTGCTGTGTCCCAGGTGAGATGTGGACACATTTCCCTGCTCCTTGGTCTAAGGTCTTTCTGAGAGTATGTTATAAGGGAGACAGAGAAGGGCTGATTTATTTCGGAGAGGAAGAAGTAAGGAATCACTAAAAGTCCTCAACATTCCCAGGCCATGTCATTATTTCTAAATATGCCTAGATGACTCCTGACCAACTACAACAGCAAGAATTGCTCCTCCGAAGAGTGCCTAGCCCAGGGGTCCCCAGCTCCTGGACTGCACCCAGGAACCAGCCTGTGGCCTATTAGGAACCCAGCCCCACAGCAGGAGGTGAGTGGTGGGCCAGCATTACCAACTGAGCTGGGCCTCTTGTCAGATCAGCAGAGGCATTAGATTCTCATAGGAGCAGGAACCCTATTGTGAACTGCGCATGTGAGGGATCTAGATTGCACAGTCCTTTTGAGAATCTTATGGTTGATGATCTGAGGTGGAACAGTTTCATCCCAAAGCCATCACCCGTCAGCCCCCAGCTTCCCATGTCCATGAAAAACTGTCTTCCATGAAACTGGTCCCTGGCTGGCCTAGCCTTATTCCCTCACAGACTGGTCAAGCGTGGCTAATATTTTCTGCAAAGGACCAATAATTAATCTTGGCTTTTAGGCTATACTCTGCATTGTGGCACAGAAGCAATCATAGACAATCTGTAAATTAAGGGCCAGGGCCAACTGTAGTTTCTGTGAACCATGGATTAGAAGGAGGGTCTCCTACTACCTCAGATCCATTCCGGCCTCAGTATGGCTCTCCTTCTGGAGGTCACAAAACCTCTTTAGGTTTAGAATCAAAGCTCCATAAGGCAGGGTGGGGAAAATTACATTTGGGAAGAAGGGACCTAAATCTAGGTGGCAAGGACAAAATACAATTGAATAAAGATCCCAGTATCCTGAGTTATTTTGTATTTAGTTTACCTAAAAGTGGGCTAAAGTCAAAGGAAGTCAAATTCAACATGCCTGTGCTGGGCATCAGCTGTACTGTTCATCTTCAGGGTGTTAATTTAAGTGTTTAATGACTGGAGAACTGACCAGTTTATAAGGATGAGTGGCAGAATCAATTGGTAGCAACATGCCATTGCACATGGGTGCAAATCAGCTCTATGATGCAGACAGCCAAGCAGTACACAGGTGCAGCCTGGCAGGCAGGAAAGCAGCCTTGAGGCAGAGCTGGGAATCACAGATGTGCTATAATTTTGGCAGACTCTTGAAAGAGAGACCTGCATGCAAAAACATTTCCTCTACATATCTTTCACTAATGTTGGAAATCCCATCCTTAGAAATCCATTTCTTTAGGATAAGGATGCCATCCTTCTTTTAAAAACAAAAAACGCTTGGAAGCATATATATATTGAATCATTTTGAGTTAAGTAGTCTTTGCAAAAAATTCTAATATGAATCGTTTCTATCAGACCCTTTCCAGCAGACATATGGGAGAGATCTTAAGAGAGGAAAATACACAAAGTTTAAGTACATAAACTTTGTACTTTGTACTTACTACTTAAACTTAGTTATGTACTGTGTACATAAACTTTTACTTAGTTGAGAAATATGCTTTAGGGAGAGAAGGACCTCAAATGAGAAGTGGGTTGACACCCAGGAAGAACTTACTCCACTTTAAATTTTGATCAGGGTTACCTTGAATATAAGAGCTACTAAAAAAATGTAAACACAGGACATCTCTTTGTTTGACTGCTAAAGCTTAGCTCTAAATTCACAACCTGCCTCTAGCATGCGGATTATACCTCAGTTTTAATTTTTCTGCTTCAATTTTTCCTCCTACATCACTCCTGGGAAGTACTTGTTTCTTCCTTTTATATTGTATGGTTTTCACAAGCCACCTGGAATTCTTTATGAAGCAAAATAGCTAGGTAGATATATATTCATGTATTTATTCAGTCATGTAACATGGTACACCTAATATGCACCAGATATCAATCTAGACGGACAGAAGATAACATCGATCAGACTTCAATGGACTTAGATAAAATGATTTTAAACGAACAGTTGAATTTTTTTCTTTTTTCTCACTATGCCCTTTTAGGTTTTCTAGGGCAGAGGAGCAAGAAGGAATTGGGCAAAAATTCACAAACCTGTGCGAGGCGGTAGTTGTTCCTCCAGGTCCTGGGGGACGCTGCAACTAGGGAGGGGGCTGCAGTGGAAAACTTCAAAGCCATGATAAGGAGGACAGCAAGGCCAGATGCAGGGAGCACCTTCATCCCCTCACAGTAGCTTGGTAATTATATCAACCTGGGGGATGACAGACAGTGCATGTTTGCACTTCGACCTTGAGCTCCTTTTATAGAGTCAAACAGGTCTGGACCCTCCGAGCAAGGATGATTCATGTCTCAAACAGTAATTATACAGTTCATTTCTCTCCCTGATGATGGGGTAACACAACTGTACACAGGAATCAGGGAAAGCTTCATTTTTTTTTTTTTTCTGTTTTTTGCCAAGTGGCAAGAAGAAAACAGTCACTTTTAATGAAGTTTGTCAGCTAGTTACACAAATTGAAGTAAACTCGATTGATTAGAACCCACCTCAACTGAAACATTTGATTAGTCTCAATTTCGGGGCCTTTTTCCATTCTGACTACAGAAAAGTTAGATGATTACAGTATAATTGAATTTGTCCTCCAAGTAATCCCCAACTCCCCATGCATTCAGCCCAATTGCCTGTATCTTCTGCATTCACTTCAAAATTTCTCAGTAGCAACAACTGTTTATAATGATGGCTCTGAGACACATAAGATCCTGAATCATCAAGGCAAGATTACATTATACTGTGCTGACTTAGGGTGGAAAGTGAACTGATAACTGTTAGAAAGCTTTTGGATGAATTAAGACAAGAGTTACATCTTAGTTAATGAAAACATTAGCCAGAACTCCTCAATCTCTGTGCACTCTGGTTAATTGGAGTCATATTGTTTTTCCTGGCTCTGATTAAGATGGATTTTGATTCAGAGATGTTATGATGAAATGGTGTCGTATGGTGAGAAAAGCACTTCGGAGTCAGACAAACAAAGATTTAAATTTTTGAAAAGATATTTCCTAGCAGTGTGACGTTACGCATGTCATTTGATCTCTGTGAACATCAGTTTTTTTTTTTTTTTTAATTTACATGAGACTGACAATACTGCTACTATGTATAAACTCTTCAATGTTACAGAGTAACACATAGAGCATGACATCTGCCAGCACCACCTGGCATCCATTGGATGTGGATTCAAATCCTAATTTTGATTTTAGACTAGATTCAATGTTATTACTATAGTGAATGTGGTGAATTTCTATAGTCTTTCTCACTCTGTTGCATTTGATATTTGATATACCTTCTTGCATGGAAGAGAAAGTGATGGAGTTACAGCCAGTGTGTGCTATCTAGTGAATAACCCCAGGTACTCAATAAGAGTTTGTAGCACATTGGTATGGTTTGGCTCTGTGTCCCCAACCAAATCTCATCTTGAATTGTAATCCCCATGTATTGAGGGAGGGAGCTGATTGGATCATGGGGATGGTTCCCCCATGCTATTCTCATGATAATGAGTGAGTTCTCACAAGATATGATGGTTTTATAAGTATTTGAAAGTTCCTCCTTTGCTCTTTTCTTTCCTGCTGCCTTGTGAAAAAGGTGCCTGCTTCCCCTTTGCCTTCCACCATGATTTGTAAGTTTCCCAAGGCCTCTTCAGCCATGTGGAACTGTGAGTCAACTAAGCCTCTTTCCTATATTAATTACCCAGTGTCGGGTATTTCTTTATAGCAGTGTGAGAACGAACTAATACACACACGCAAACATAATTTCTGGCATGTATTGTGAGATACACAAAACGTGTCTCAGAAGAAGAAAAAAGAAAACCACAGATCTATTAGATTCATTTAACTAAATTGTAAGCTCTTTGAAGACTGTATTCTAAAAAATGTCACTTAATAAAGTTTGGTAAAAAATGAATAAATGAATGTACAAACGTATGCTAATCATCATTTTTTGGTTTCAGAAAAGGAATAGGTTATTGCAATAATTTTTCAAAATTTGCGTTTATATGGTCTCCTGTCTTCTGGAGCCCTATCTTCAACAGCTGCCAAAGTTGAAGAACAAAGACAGTCCTTGAAACTTCCCTTCAATTGGTCATCTTCTTCCCTTTTTTTCTCCTTTAAACACTGTTCCAATTCATTATGATGGCCCCAATGCAAAGACAGCCATGGAAGTGAACATTGGAGTGAAAGGAATGATGGTAAGAAATTCTGGGGCCAGTAGAGAGAAAATATTCTCACCTCTAGGACTCTAAAGAGTATTCTAAGTTCCATTTTCAGAAGCACATGGAAGTAAATAACTGTCTGTAGGGTGTAATCTAAATACTTCTAGAATGTTCCAGTTTCTGCTTTTCTAACACATAAATGCAGTCAATCCCAATGTTCCTAAGTGCAACATTTCAATTATCGAGTGCAAAAATTTTGAAGAGGAATAGCAATTTATGTTCTCATAAGTCATTTACCTAATAGTATGACTAAACTTCACCTCAGAGTCAGCACTAGGTAACATCTTTGACCTTTCCAGATAGAGAATTAATCAATGTCTGGTAGTTTCTTACTATGATTTCCTATTTCTGATTTTTCTTTCTTCACAGGGGAGCAAAGGTCTGCTTTCTTTCTATCATTCTTGTATCAACTCTAAATTTAAATTCAAATCATTGAAATCTAAAAATATCACATCAAAGCAAGTCAATGACTAAAAAAATAAAATGAGAGAGCCTATCAGAGAAATACACAAGGCAAAATATCATTGATTAAATAAGTTATGGGAAAAATAAACCATTACAACATTAAATGTATATATGACATGCTATATGTTTGTTATGTGCTTACTGTCTTTTACCAGTAGAATGTAAGTCCCATAACGGTAGGGACTCTAATTCTGTTTGCAGCAGCATTGCTAGTACATAGAACAGTGCCTAGCACAAAATAAACAGTTGTTGAATAAATGAATGTAGGAATGAGTGATTAATTGAATTAATTAAAGACAGAAAGAAGAAAAATAAGATTGTCCTCAGAGAGATAAATTTTAAATCAACCCATATAATGGATAAAATGAAGGTGTATAGCATCACCCTAAGAAACTGAAATCTTTATTAAACCCACATTATATGCCAGACATGTAGCCAAGTACCTTATGTACACTTTTCACACAACTTTATGACATGCAGTTTTTCAAGTGAAGAAATGTGCTCATGAAAGATAAATGATTTGTTAATTTCACATAGATGTTAAGGTGGTGACTCCAAGATTTTCACCCAGCTCTGTTAGATGTTGAAGCCTGTGTTCTTAATAGTTACAGGAAGCATATGTTGGTGCCTTTGTGGAGCAGTGCCTTGGAAACGTGGTATCTAGAGTTGGCCGGCAGGGAGATCCCTAGCTGATTCCAGTTGCCCAGCTGCTCCCTGGCACTCCCATGTGTCTGGCCTGAGCAGAATTTGGGCCAGCCAGACTGCACAAACTCCCTGGGTGGTGATGTTTCTCACTAAAAATGATTCCTTTGTTACTCTGGTTTCTGTATTTCAGTCTTCAGTGAATTTAACTTTCATAAATGTTTAACTTTCTCGATTTCTAGAGTTCGGTTACAACCTGGTAGATTTTTCAGAGTAAGGGATGCTTCCTAGTGAGGCAGGATTCTGAATGATCAGTTACCAGCTAAGTTTTATTCTATATCCAGCCTTCCCATGGCCCTTCTTTCAAATGACTCATATATATATATATATATATATATATGCCACTTTAAATGGCTGACTCTAAAAAAAATTTATATAACTTGTAAATCATATCATATTCTATTTTGTAATGGTATTTGTTAAGTTTAGAAATTTATGACTAGAATGCATAACATGAACCAACTTCTGAATTTCTAGAGCACACATATTCTAGAATCAGATGGAATAAAAATAGAGGAAAAAAAAGGGTATTTAAAACCAAAGACTACCCCCAGAATCTCATATGGAAAATAAGTGAATGATCTTACCTCATTTGTGAGAATGAGAAGCTCAGAGAGAACCTGGCAAGCTCATATCCAGAAACCAACTGGTTTATTTTCACCAGGAACAAAAAAAGAAAGAAAAAAGGGAAGGCAAAGGAAGAAAAGAAAAAAGAAAAAAAATATACTATAGGTAATTTTGGTTAGAGAGGAGGAAGCAAACAGCCTTCTGATTCAGCAATTATTAGCATTAAAATGAGCTATTACAGAAGGCTGTGAAGTTGTCTTCAGCAGTCTTTGAGCATAGGATAGAGCATCATGCTTTTAGAAAAGATTGGGTTAAGTGAGGTTTTGCCTGTCTGGTTAGGCTTGGGGTATGTGCAAAGAACTTAGATTAGATTACTGTCCCAAATTTTATTCATAATTATTAATATAATTTATATATACAATAAGCAAAATACTTTCATATTTTAAATAAATATTTATTGGGTATCAATTATTTGTTAGGCACCAGGAATACAGAGATATGAGACACTATTTTAACACTCTAGGAGCTCAAAATTTACTGCTGCAATAAAATTGAACTTGGAGTAAAATCTTAGATAAAGATCAACTGAATCTTAGTGACAAAAAAATGTGTCTTTACATTGCAAGTTGGTAGAATCCTTCTTAAAAAAATTATAAATGATTTAGCAATGTGTAAAATATGAAAAGGGCAATTTTAGCCAAAAAAGCAAGCGAAAATTATACAACATTTGATTCAATATCTGCTAAAGGGAAGTATATAGACCAAAAAAAATTTAAAAAAAGAAGGAAAAGGAAACCTGGGATAAGGAAAACAGTAGTATGAGGGTGGTAGGGCCTTACACCTAACAGTTCTTACAAAATTTCCTTTAATACTACTATGCATTTTTAAAAAACAGTAAGTGAAAGTGTAAAAGAAAGACTATATCAATGTACCTTTATATTTGTATTTGAGAAAACAGAAGACATATATGATGAACTCAGTGGCATATTTAACTGATTCATTTGTTTGGCTGTGATTCTTCTATTTGCTCAGTCTAGAACTCTTGTATTTATTTTGTATGCTGGCACTAGACTTAGTGCTGGAGGTACAAAAGGCAAATAAAAACCTGTCCTTGCCCATCACAGTCAGAATCTCCAGAGAAAGGCTCAGATATAAACTCAAAATACCTTACAGTGTAATTAGTGAAATAAGAAAGGTATTTAAAGGTCCAAATGAGAGCAGAAGAGGGAAAGCTCATCTCTGCCTGGGCAGTTGAGAATGAGAGTAAAACGCAGGAAAGGAGGGGCCATGGTGAACTTTCCATGGGGATGGGGCTTTAGCTGAGGGCTGATTGCCAATGGAGTTAGAGCTCACCTGCAAGAAGGGTGAGGTGAGAAGGAAGTAGAGTGACAGGTAGTGGGGAGGGGGAAATTCCAAGCAGAGGAAGCAATGAGGTGAGTAGCTGTTAAGAGCATTTGTTCTTAAAAAACTGAAGATACTGCTATGTACAAGGCAGTTTGGGGGCAGCCAACAGGAGGCGGGCAGAAAAGAAAGGCAGAGACGGGTCTGTTGGAGAAGGCTCTCACCCATAATTTCAGGTACTGACACAGAAAAGCAGAGGCCAGGAGTTGTTTGCTGGGTAAACCTTGGTCAAAGGGGAAAGCCAGAGAGCAATTTCCAGCCCAAGCTGCTGATCCAAAGGGCAGGACTGAAGTGAGGCTCCAGGGTGCAGAGCTGGAATATGGCTGGCAAAACAGAGAAGGTAGAAGATGGGAAGAATGGCATGGAACAAGTCTGGAGCAGCCACAGTGCAGCAGAGGCTTTGAGGACTGGTGGGGTTTTATTTAAAGGGCCTGGAGAGGAGTGTGCTGGGCAACGTCACAGGCACCTCATGTGCCAGGCTAAGGCATCTAGACGTTAATGGTTTGTGATGGGAAACCACTGGAGAGTTTTTTCCCCAGCAATGACATGATGAGATTTGCAGTTACACAAGGATTGCTCTGAAAGGAACATTTGGCATGAATTGGAGAGAAGTGAGGATGGAGGCTGCCGGGTGCACCGAGAGGAGGGTTATAGGAGGTCCAGTCAGAAGGCTTACCACTATGTTTATCTTAGGTCATGAACTGTGAGAGACAAGCTGTCAGGATAAATAGCATTTTGTTTATTCTTGTAAAATCTCTGGCCTATATTGCAATGATCACCAATGTGAGTGTTTGAGATTGGGTAGTAAATGTGTTTACAGCTGCCT